TCAATTATATTAATTTTTTTACGTATAAAATAATAATTCAGACTCACATTTCAATTTTTTGCATCCTTTTACTTTGAGAGACAAGCCATGTAAAAATTCTGGCATATAATAATAACTATTCGTCCTTTCTGTACAGCTAAATAGCAAATGTGGTCAACTCGGACCACGTCTTCCATACTGTTAAATTTGAAAGACAGAGTAATGGCTGTGTCTTCTTCATTTATATATTACCTAACCCAACTGCACAAATAAATGCTTCGGGTTATTTAAGTAAACCCACGTCTGATTAACAAGCACATCATGTTATATAAGTGAATTTGTTTTTGCCTGTTACATCCTATTTTAAACTTTTCCAAGCAAATAATTGAAAAACAAAACCTACTAAATTATTTCTTCATTTTTTCCACTAGATGTTAGTCATTAATAAAACTCCATCATATGATCGTCTTAATGGGACGGTTCACTATATTCTAATTTATCAACTAGTAAATTTGTCTTGATTGAATAATCATTAAGAGATCAGGTGGTCATGGATTAATGATAAATTAAGATAGTTTCAAGAGATTAGTTTTAAAGTTGATCAATTAAAAGTAAAGTATAATTACTTGTATTTGAATTGTAATTAGGTTAGAGTTAATTAAAATGTCATCTCCAAAACTTATAAAGATTTTAAGTAAGAAGATAAGTTATTTGTATTTATTATTACATTAAATATTAGCGGTTAATATTGAGTTGACTTTGACATCATAGTATCTTTTGCATTTACTATTCAAACAGTTGGGATTAACGATTTGACCTAATATTTAGATTCCTAAATAATAAATAAACTTTGGACGACACAACACAACATAAACGGTTGACCATGATCCCATTCTTAAAACAAAAACTAATTGTTATTGATAAATAAATGGAGGAGTGAATTCAGAAAAAAGGATATTTAAATATTAGTGAATCTTTTTTTGCCTATTAAGTCCTATATTAAAGTTTTCCAAACAAATAATTGAAAACAAAACCTACTAAAATGTTTCTTCATTTTCTCTTCTAGGTGTTAGTCATTAATAAAACTCTATTATATGATAGTCTTAGTAGGACGATTCATTATATTCTAATCTATAACCAAGAAGCTTATTTAGACAGATCGATCATTAAGAAATTAAGTGGTTATAGATTAAACTGATGAGTACATATAATATCAATATATTAACTTTAAAGTTGATCAAATTAAAAGTAAAGTATGATTACTCATGTTTTGACCATAATCAGATTATCGTTAATCAAAAGTTCACCTAAAAACTTATAAACAAGTGTTTGAGGTAAGGATGTACGTTATTTGCATTCAGTGTTGTATTAATTGCTAACGTCAACACTAAATTGACTTTGATATCATAGTATCTTACCTTCTGCATGTATTCTTCCAACAGCTTGGACGAACGATTTGACCTAACACTTGAATCTCTAAACAAAACTTGGATTTTGGACGATGTAACACAACTTAGACCATTAACCTCAATACCATAACCGAAATAAATTTGTGTCGCAGGCATGACTCTTCGAACATCATGACGTTTTACACCCAAATATTTTCCTTGTAATCATGAGTTTTTCAAAAGTATTTAAGAATTTGTTATTTTATTTTGGAAGACTTGCCAGTACACTACAAATAAATCTTTAAATCTTTAAAAAAGTTGTTATTCATGTTTCAAGATTTTTTTTTGTATTTTCATCAATTTATGCAACAGAAACCATGATAAAAACATGAGATTCCAAATTTTAATATGATAGAGAAGTATAATTTTCTAGTTTGGAAGAAGTTAATCTAATAAACAAAAAAACTTGTATTTTTGAAGTAACACTAACACATAAAAGCCTATTTAAAGGCGTTAATTTGTGATTGGCATCCACCCCCACTAGCAAGGACAATACAACAATGAGTAGTGTATTATGAAAGTAGCCAAGCACAAGTGCTTCTATATACATCCTTTCAATCATTGCTTCGAATGAGTTTTTCTTCTGTTCTACCCAAATTTTCACTTCATCATACACTTCTCTTCCAATGAGTTTTTTAATTTCTTATTTTCTTCCTGTATGATAAATAATAAGAGAAAAAATACGACCTAATAATTCATAAGACTAGTTTATTTATATGTTATAATAATCGCATACAAAATTAAGATTAGTTGAACGAGTCAATAAAACCTTGAGTGCTCTACACATATCTTTGCCTTATAAAAATACTATAGTTGGCTTAGCTTTTATGCGCAATATCGTTGGTTGCTAGTTTCCTTAATCAGGGAGGGAAAATGACATGCCTTCAAAAGTGGACAAGATATAAAGAAACCAAAGAGACAAAAAAACCTTATATGACCTAAACAACACAAAAGTTAAAAAGAAAATAACACCAACCTCATTTTTTTTTTAAGTTTTATTATATTATCTCATAGCTTCTAAAAAATTAGTTCAGTCAAATTCAAATTTTGCCACACAAAAATAAAAAAAACCTAAAAATTATATGCTAAAAAGACAGCCATTAACGTTGCGTTTGTTTCAGCAGACACAGACACAAAGAGTGCGAGGAAAACTAGAAAAGTAATAAAATAAATATCATTAAAACATGAAAAACGATAAACTTTCTTACTTTAAACTTTCTCTTCACACATACGAAGATTAGCAAAGAAAGTTTAGTAACTTATCATTTTATATATAAAATCATATATATATATATATATAATGTTTTTATATATTTTAATTTGTGATTATAAATATTATTTTTAATAAAACATTATAATTTTTTTCCTTTAAGTAAATTTTAATTTTAATTTATAATTGAAACATATTTTTATTTATTTTATTCATAATATCATAAATAAATTTTTCACAAACTGTTCTCTCAAACTACACTATTTTTTTCCTTCACCTTCGTATCCAACAAAATTCATCACCTGAATCATCCAAATTTAAAAAGAAGAATAAGAAAGAATTACATAATAAAATTAACATGGTTTATTTGAAATATTAACAAACTTTAATGATTTTATTTACGAAACAAAGAGGGCCTAAATGTTAATCTCAACTAATGATGTCAAGTCATATTTATAAAACAATACTATTATAAATAACATCCGTGAAACATTTTTTTACGGTTTCACTAAATAGTTCATGTCTAGATAAATATCGTTTACTGAAATTTTGTATGAAATATAATAAAAACTATATATCAACATCGGATGATCTATCACGATTAAACAACTCAAAAACATTTTGACAAGAACTTTCCATTTTTGAGTATAAAACTTCCACAGAACATTTGTATTTTGCATACATTGCATCCATAGATTTGTGAAGTGAAAGTTAAAGTTGCAGGCGGAATTAATCTTTGATTTGAATTGATTAAGGAAACAATGATGGGAACTTAGGGTATGTTTGTGAGTGGCTGCAGAAACAAGTAATCCAAATGTAATAGAATGCTTATCTGACCAAAACTCCAACCACAAAATTCCTTTGCATATTCCACCACATAGAATTAGGTAATTAACTCGTACTAATCCTATTACCTTTGACCCTAAGATACCATCAAACATGCAAACTTCTTATTCTTTAATAACTTTAAATCACATTCACTGATTTTCGCCAAAGACAGATTACAAGGTATAATCCAATCCTAAAATAAAAGAAAATTATATTTTAATCATAAATTATAACTTTTAATATCATAACAATTTTTGTACTTGTTTTGCTACGAGAGAAAAATATTAGCTTGCCGTGTACGAAACTTAACAATTATAGAAATATGATGTCCCAACCATGTATATTGTCCGAGCTATCATATCATCACCTACGTGGCTACCCTGTGCCTCTGGTTAGGGGAAGCAATATATTTTTCATAGTAACAAAAAAAGAAGTAGAAATAACTCATTTTAAGTCACGTGATAACAATTATTCAAAAAAGATTTTAATTTAAATAAATAAATTCACTCAACAAGAAATAAATCTGTATATTATTTTTACTCTTGAAAAAGGTTTTTAAAAACCTAAAATTTTATTTCTGTGCATAACAATATACATGAAGGCCCCACCTAATTGTTTTTTTATTATCGTTGAAAATTTTTCAAGTTATAGAAACTCAGATCATAATCAACAAAATAGTTGTTTGCTGAATAAGTCAACAAATTGTTTTAGTCCCTTTTAATCAGTAAAAAAAAAATAATAAATGTCAGCGCGTAAAATTAATTACATGATTTGATTTGATGCATCAGTGATAACAGTGGCAAGTGGCTTCAAGAAAATAAAACAGTTGTTTTTTATCAGAATTGGGGTTATTGAACAACAGTGACTCATATTTCAAAAGTATTAATTAATTAATTAATTGATTAACTGCAAACGATATTTTCTCCATAAGGTTTATTTTTCTATTCCTATTATATATAGAGATTTTTTTTTTGTAATTCTTGTATATGTTTTATCATTCTCTTGTTACCTTATTTATGTCGTTTGGTTATGTATTAAAATTTTATAAAGCCTCGCTGATTTTATCAAATGCATCAAAGACGATCCACTGTTGAATGCTTGGACACTACCTTATTGGCTGCTTGCACTTTCATGAATAATGATCAGACAGAGATTGTCACGTTGTTCTAGGTGTTGTTACTTAATCTCATATTCATCATAAAACATGTTTAAGACAACCTTATCTTCTTTGCAAAGCCACAAAAATTAGTTGTACCTAGAACCACTCGCACCAACTCAATCCAATAAGGCACGAGTTAATGTTATCAAAAGCATTAAACCAGTCTTAACTACAAGTAATTAATTTAAAAAATTCAATACAACGTAGTAAATCTTAACTTATTGTATAGAAATGAGTTTTAATTTGAATATGTTTCATGGTTGAAACGAGACAATACATAAAGTTAAAAAGTACTGAGAAAGAGGTCTAAAAAGCTGCATAATAAGTAAGTCCGTGGCCAACTTCATTTCTGATCCTTTGCTACCTTTCAGCCTTTCACCATGTGACCTAACAAACAATCTCTCTCTTTTGCACACGCTCTTTGTTCCCTCAATAATTAGGGAATAATCGAAATTAGGAAGACACCAAATCCCTGTAACAAAATAACACAGCCCATAACCATTTTTTCTTTCAACACAATACTTTAATCCCACCCTCACTTTTCCCTGATAAAAAATTGACAAACCCCCTTTGTTTATTTTCTAGGCAAAAACGAAGTGCTAACAACACAACACAAAACAAAACACCCCTGTTTGGTTTCTCCTCCCGTCACTGTTTCTTCTTTTCTACTTCTTCTCGCACCCGAACAAGATAGCAGTTCCTCAACCACCTTGATCCTCTCCATATCTTGCTTGTTTTCCTTTTCCCTCTGAATTTAAATGAAATGGCTCTGCACAAAACACCCCCAAATAGCAGGGGGTACTATGTTAAGATGAAGCTCCTTCACAAACATGGAAGACCTCATCACCACCAAGAAAAAAACTGCTTTTACAAATACTACAAATGGCTTCTATGGCTCTCTCTTTCCCTTTATTTCTTCACTTCCTACCTCATCAGCAACAACAACCACGCCAAACAACCCTCTCACCACCAAACACCTCATGTCTCCAGAACTCTCATTGAATCAAACAACACAGCTCCTTCGCAGTCTCTGCACTCTCGAGGTATCTGAAATCTATCTCATTTTGTCCTACAGTCAAAGAAAATATCTTTCACGGAAGAAAAATATTGTTTTTAAGTTAAAGATTAGAAATTTAGTGTTGTTTGATATTTTGTATTGATATTTTGGTTTTCTGGTTATAAGGGTCTTCGTCGCTGAAGAACTTGAAGGTGTTTGTGTACGATCTTCCGCCCAAGTACAACACCGATTGGTTATCGAACGAGAGGTGTAGTAAGCATTTGTTTGCGTCGGAGGTTGCCATTCACAGGGCTTTGTTGACCAGCGAGGTCCGCACGTTTGACCCTTACGAAGCTGACTTTTTCTTCGTACCCGTTTATGTCTCTTGCAACTTCAGCACCGTCAATGGCTTTCCCGCGATTGGTCACGCGCGCTCCCTCATCGCGTCCGCGGTCAGCCTCCTGTCCTCGGAGTACCCTTTCTGGAACCGGAGCAGGGGCTCCGACCACGTCTTCGTCGCCTCGCATGACTTCGGCTCGTGTTTCCACACGCTGGTACGTTCATCTTTTTGTTTTTCTCTCCAAACGGTTTCGCTGGTTGATTTCGTAGACTGATCTGTTTTGTTTGGTTTTGCGAAGGAGGACGTGGCGGTGGCTGATGGCGTCCCAGAGATTATGAGAAACTCGATCGTGTTGCAGACGTTTGGCGTTGTGTACGAGCACCCATGTCAGAAGGTTGAGCACGTGGTGATTCCGCCGTATGTTTCGCCGGAAAGTGTCCAGGACACGATGGAGAACTCTCCGGTGAACGGACGGCGAGATATTTGGGTTTTCTTCCGAGGGAAAATGGAACTTCATCCCAAGAACGTTAGTGGAAGATTTTACAGCAAGTAAAAACTATCTCCATTTCTTCAACTCAATTTAAATTTGTACAAAATAGTCAAAACATTTTTAATGGAAACTTTAATCTTGCTCTTTAGAGATTTAAAATACAATTTTCTTTTTTACATTTTTGGTTGACAAAAATGATCTTTTTAACATTTAAAAACTATTTGTCATTTTTGTTGATGATTTCACTGTTTTCACCTTGAAGGAAAGTGAGGACAATGATATGGCGAAAGTTCAACGGTGACCGGAGGTTTTACCTACAGAGACACAGGTTCGCCGGTTACCAGTCAGAGATTGCACGCTCGGTGTTTTGTCTGTGCCCTTTGGGGTGGGCCCCGTGGAGCCCGAGGCTGGTAGAGTCCGTTGCTCTGGGTTGCGTGCCGGTAGTTATAGCGGACGGTATCCGTCTGCCGTTTCTCTCTGCCGTGAAATGGTCGGAGATATCGATCACGGTGGCCGAGAGGGACGTCGGGAGGCTGGCGGAGATACTGGAGCGCGTGGCAGCGACGAACCTGAGCACGATTCAAAGGAACCTGTGGGACCCGGCGACCAGAAGGGCGCTACTTTTTAACAGCCAGGTTCGGGAAGGGGACGCCACGTGGCAGGTCCTACGTGCTTTGAGCGAAAAGCTTGACAGGTCCTACAGGGGTTCGAGGGTTTCACGCCAATTGGATTTTGACACGTAAGAGGTTTAAAATCGGCGCCAAGTTGGTTCCTTGTTTGTTTCTTCACCCGTGCTCATGACATTACGCAGACAAAACACGGTGCTGCATGGGAGATAAAAATAAGAAATGAATAAATAAATAAATAAATATAGTAAATAATAAAAACAAGATTTAGTGGATGACAGCTGGAATTTATTCAGAGATGGAATTTAATGACTCATGCTGGGGCCCATAGGGGAAGATCAGCTTTACGACTTTCTTCGAGGTTCTTAATGGTGACGTGGCTTATGGCGATGACATGGCAAGAATTGATTGGAGGGATTTGCGGTTTGGAGAAGAACTGTAAAATATCTCTAGGGTAGATTTTGTATAATCATTTTTGCTGTAAATAGATTTAAAAGGATATATAATACGAATTTTTGAAATGTCTTAGCTGGTTTTATTTATTGTTGTACTTGATTTGATTGAATTGGAAACTGGAAAGTGAGGATTGTTGTGTCAGTTGTTTTGTAACGAAAGAGATGGAAAAATTTTGAAAATTTATTTTTGTGTTTGTGAGTGAAATGATTAATGAGAATGGAGATGAATGGAGGGAGATGAGGGTGTGTCAGAAATGTCAGAACTTTTATAGTGGTTATTTAAAGTTTTAATTTTTATTTTTTGCAAGTTAATGGGGGCTGTCAGAGTGGTCACGGATGTGTTCAAGGGTTGTCAAAATCAAAAAAAGGGGTATTGGACGAAATCAATTTGAACAAACACGAATTGAATAAGCGGATAATATTAAAAGTAAAATAAATAATTATGATCAAATTTAGATAAAATTTTTATATATGTTTAGTTCAATTTTAATTTATATTTTCATATTCATAAATATATAGATATATTTAAAATTTTACTTTTAATACAATACTATTTTATTAAAAGTTACGAAATAAAAATATAAGATGATAGTTTATTATAATAATTATTTTTAAAATTATATACATTATTTTTTTAGTTAAATATTTACTATATTTTGTCATTTATTAAAAAAATAAATTTTTTTATTAAATAATTTTAATTTAATATAAAACTATAACCTGGAAATACAACCAAATTAATCCACGATTTAAACAACCTGAATGTAATTAACCCAACTTAAATCTAATAAACTCCATAAATTAAATAGTCTAATATAAATTTTAAATATCGAGATTTGTCTCTCTAATAATTAAATTGTAACTTTATTCATTGCAAGAATTCAAACAAGAATTTATACCAAATTTAACGAAAAAGAAATCAAATACTTCTAGAATCCGTCGAGATTTCAGAGACGAATTTTCAGACACGAAACTGAATGAAAAATAAAATCAAATACTTTTAATAACTATAAGAATATTTGAAAAATGAAAAAACTAGTCTTTTTTGTTCACTTCGTCTTGTTTTGTTCATTATGTTTGTGTAATTTCTATTTAATATATTTGTATCTTGATTAAAAGTTCATAGTCAACAGAGGAATTCATGTACCTATTGAAAATTGTATCCTTGCTTAACGTGTTATTTTTTGAAAATAAAAAGAAAATAAAACTTCACATTTTTTATATTAATCCCTTTTCCATAATCATTAATGGCTTCATAAATATGAAAATAAAGTAAATAACATACACCGAAAAAATTATTATCCTTATGATGACTAAAAAAAACTTGATTTTTTTGTTTTCATTGGTAAGCCAGTAATTTCATAATGTCTAATCCTATAATTATCGATATATATGATATTAAGTTTCCTTTGCCTTATCCGAACTATTTTGTCATCTTCTATTCTTTTCCCAATAATTGAATCTCATGCACAGGAAATTTACAATCAAGATGAAATATGGTTAATGATTAACAAAAAAATTGATATATATTATCGATAATGATGTTTTTATTTATCTTCATGATGAAGAAAGCGTTCTTGTTACTAATAGTTTTTAAATTATTCTCTTTTAAATTATTATATTCTTAACACTTATAATTCGTTTTAGTTTAAACAAACGTCTTACTTTAATCTCACATCGGATTAGTGAATTTTGAGTTTGAATCCTAGAAATACAATAATGTTAAAAATATAAAGATAAAATTTTACCTTTCAATATTATTCAACTCATAAAAATACGTGATAAATACGAAACAAACATTTTATCAATAAATTAATTATTCACATAGTATTTACAACATTTTTTTAATTTGTAATTTTCATCATGACTACATTTATTTTACTAATAGTATTTGGGACTTCCAAGGAGTGCTGAAATACAATAAAATATTTTTAGTGACACCAAAAATTAGGAAGAGACAAATTACAACTGAAAATCTCACATAAAAGTGAATTAAATGATGCGTACTAAATTATCATAAAAGGTGTATAAATATAAATATACAAAACAAAACGGATTTATATAATTTAAACGTTTTCTTAAAATCTATATTTGAAAAATTAGGGTACCTATTTATAGAAGAAGAGGTAATATTTTGAAAAAAGAAAAACTCTATTTTATAAGTGCGAAGTTTTCATTTTAGTTGTTGAAATGGCAAGTTTTTCCTTTTAATTATTAATTGACAAAAGGCACGAATTGATTTGGTTGTCGTATCTATCAAACTTTAGTACTGTTTGGGACACTGAATTATGGTGTGGCCCATTTCGTTATCCACATACAGATTCCTGATCAGGGCCTTTACATGGGCCAGCAACAGTACCACACTACGATTTGGGTTTATTTTTTTCGATAACACTTTTAAAAAATATGACAAATAATGGAATAAGATTTTTTTTATAGATCTTATAAAAATGATTTAACTTTTTGTTTTTTTTATCTCCTCCTCATCAACAATGAGTCCCTCTAACGTTTGTACATTCCCTTCCAACAGAACCATTCTTAATCATGATTATTTCTTTATATTACCGTTAAACGGACATACTTACTTGAAATCCTTTCCTAGAATAAATTTTGATATCGTATTGGTCATCAAGACGAAACATCAATTCAATGTTATTGAAAAAGAAAACTTATTTTACACTATGATAGGACTCTTGAAAATCGTGAAACATACTTTTCGAAATTGAGTGGAAACAAAATGAAAGGAAAATGTTTTTCTAGATGTACTCCACAATCATTTTTTAAGTATTTTGATCATTAAAACAATTAACTTTTATATTTGTAAAAAAAGAAGAGAGAAATAAAAGGTAAAATTGTAGAATAAAACGTTTGTAAAAATTTATTTAATAATATCCAAAATGAAAATATAAGAATTTGCTTACAAGGGAGCATGTCCTTTCTCTCAATGTCACTTTTCACACCCATACACGTATCAGAAAAGCATTCTTATCAATTTATTTCGATACTATAGGACCCAAAACATTACTACAATATCACAATGACACAACGCAACAAAACAAAACATTCCAATCATTGGAGTGGCATGGACGTTCAACTACCCTTGCAATTACACTTAGCAATGGGACCATCACAAAAACCACCCCAACACCGTTTCAAAGTTTCAATTTTTAAGTATATAAAGGGTAACATAGAATTGAGACACACCAACATGAACAACAACTTTGGCTTAGCATTCTGGGATCAGATTGTGGTCTCTCCTAGGATCATGGCAATAGTTGTACACCATGTAGTTGGTTTGGACCCATTGCATGGCCCTGAACTGCTGAGGGCTCAGACTTCCGAAGCCAGAAGATGTAGAAGGTGGGTGGCATGAGGCAGAGCTTTCACTGGTGCAACCTTGAAGTCTGAAGTTTTTGTACCTACCAACGAAGGGTTGGTATCTGTAATCAGCTTTGTATTTTCCACCCTCTGTTGCCCAAGAAGATGCATCCCATATTGACCCATACACATACATTGGCCTTGTAGGGTATGTGGCCTCACTTTTCCTTGGATACCTTCTTATTGGAACATCATCCACAAAAAATCTGCATATATTATTCCATCACAACACAACTTAGTTATCAACAATGCTAAATATTGCAACAACTACATTCATTCCACAAGCAAGATTGTGTGTCACAATCTAACAATGAGCTGTGAATGGATGTGCTGTAGCTACGATTTGTTTCTGTTTTATAATTTCATGAACAGATAAAAGGATATTACTATAGTGAGGGGATCATAGTATGATTCTGAAACAAAATCGCCTTTTCAACTTAACAATTTAGAATAAGCGTAGTTATGAAAATTGGTGGCAGGAGAATGCATGGAATATTACATTAACTCAGAAGGTTTCCATAGAACTGCATAGTTGTGAAAATCCTGTGTTGGGTCAAACCAGAGATGAAACCTCATTTCTCTTCCTATAATATTCCCATCTCCACTTCCTCTGATGTATACATTTGTCTGCAAGACATATGGCTTGTCTGGCGTGGTACCAAGGAACTCTATGTCAATTTCATCGTGGTTTCCGGGGTGGTCTTGGTTGTTTGAAAGCTGCAAAGAGTTCAGAGAAAGAAATTAAAATTTGCACTGTAAAGAAGAGATTTACTTTTTCAACATTAGCTGAATCTGTAGAGAAATTCTCACGTAGAGAGATGTAATGACTCCTGCCGTGTAACCAGGTTGAAGCTTAATTGCAGCACCAAAGTATCCAGACTTGTAAGAGTGAAGTGACTTGAATCCACTCCCTGTGTCACAGAACAATGTCTTAGTAAGAGTATGGTCTAAGCCAGTAGCAGTGAAGAATGGAGTAATTGTGCGTTACCAAAAACCTTGTGGTTGTGAATTAAGGGAAATTATGAGTCAGATGTGAGAGTGAGACAGGTTTACATACCTGTGCTAGTATCTAGCCATATTGTCAATGAGCCTTGGTCTATTCTCTGATGCTGAGGTCCCCAAAGGTTTTTAAAGCCTTGATTGAAGCTAATAGGACTAATTTTGGAACTGGGGTAGTAGCCAGGTGAAGGTGGTCCCTGAGCAGAACCAGAATAAATCATACATGAGAGTACAAGAAGGAAGAGAACAGGAAGCATTGGGAGGAAAGAGGATAGTGATGATGGCATTGTAGGAACAAAATGACTCTGCTAAAATGCAGGGTGGGGCTGAAGGTTTTAGGTAAGTGATAGTTATGAAAGAGTTATGGCTACAGAGTATGATATATAAAGGGGTTCAAGGCCCTACTATTCCAAAAAGATGATATGTTAGTTGATTGGGGAGTTACACATGATGACAAAAACTTATCGCATTTGTGGTAACCATAGGGGAATATTTTGAAGTTAAGGTGTGGGCTTTTTCTGTGTAATTTCTTCAAGGGGGGGGGGGGACTTCCTTTTCAAGTGAATACTTGTTTGGTATAAACTTGCAAATTATAATGTACCACTTGAATGGAATAACATGGAGGAAGAATGACACTGTTATACTTTACACATGTATGGTTCACCACACCGAATCACAAAACATCACCG